GCCTATGTTCATGATCATTACCTTAGATGTCGTCATAACTATGCACTTTTCTATAAATTGCTCGGCAGTAATTTGTTCACCCACCGTAAGATATGCTATCTTGAGAGAAGCCGCTAGTGAAACCTATGGCCTCCGGGTCTCTTTTCCATTATATTGAATCTAGTTTACATCTTGCTAGTTTCTGATATATTATTTTGCAATATTTACTTTCCAATCTATAAACCAAAAATATTTACTTTACCCTTTATTTATCTGTATCAGATTTCACTTTTGCGAGTGACCGTGAAAGGATTGACAACCCCTTTATCGTGTTGGTTTCAAGTTGTTGATTGTTTGTGCAGGTATTCGGTAACTTGTGCGTCGTCTCCTACTGGATTGATACCTTGGTTCTCAAAACTGAGGGAAGTACTTATGCTACTTTGCTGCATCACTCTTTCCTTTTCAAGGGAAAACCAACGCAAGTTCAAGAGGTAGCGTACATCAACCGCGTTACTAAACGCTTCCTCTTACGGTCTACCAGGATACGTAGACACACTCTCCCTCTCGTAGCTATGCATCTCCTTGATAGATCTTGAGTGTGCGTAATTTTTTTTTGTTTTCCATGCAACATTCCCCAACACCCGGTTCAGTTTTTCTTCTGGTTTTTTCATGAAAAAAAGTTCGTCAAAACCTAATCAACATGGGATGTAGTTTTGAAGATCTCGATGCAAGAAATCCAATGGTGAAAATGGTTCAAGATTTGAGAACGCACGATTTAGGAGATTAAACATTTTCAATAAACCGATGTACGAAAAAGGGAAAATTCCCTGGTTGCGACAAGTAGCACGCATGAGGAGGTGGGAGTGATCTTTGAAAAGAGTACACATTAATTAGTGATTTCGCTACATTCGACTTAAAGACTCAACCCCTTCCCGTAGCGATTTTTTCCTGCTTCATTGGTTACACTAGTGCAGGAATGACAACAGGACCGCATTTTTTTGACTATTTGATTGTCTTTTATTTGTTGCATAGATCCTTTTACTTGCCAATTTAATCCATTTTATTTTTGTAATCCAATTCTACATCAAGTGTATTTTTGTGCTTCTTTTCTGCTCGTTGTTTTGATGTGCAATAGTTCGGTTATTCTTGCATTTTTTTATTCTTCAACTCTTATTTCTATTTCTTAGTTTAATGCAATAATAATTTAGTATTCTTTACATGTTTTCCTTCGTGTTCTCCCATAATAGTAATTTGGTCCAATTGTAGCCACACAATTATTTGCGTTAGATCTATGTCTAATTGAATAGTTTGATTTACCATTAACTTAAGCTTTGAGGTGGTTAATACTATTTTCCTAAATGCAAGTCTAACATATTAGACTTAATATGAATTTATAGTTTTTCATTGCAAAGGATTAAAGGATCTATTCAAATTCACAATTTATTCATCGACACGATGTTTTGGCTCTCAGGTGTATCTGCTTCTGTTGGTGAATAGAAAAATAAAACAAATTCTAAAACAAAATCTTTTTTTTCTTGCATTGAAGATGTTGAATCCATGATGTCCGTGCCAAATTCCATCATGGTTGGACATCAGAGCAACTCTCAGTAAAAAGACAAATTTGGGGGATGTGAGAAAGTTTACTCTTCACGCACTGTTCAGACTGAGTTTGTCGTTTTTGCTGAGAGCTGCTCAGATGTCCAAACATGATGGAATTTGGCATGGACATCACACACTCCAACTTTTCCGTGCAATTTTTTCTTCAGATTTTTATGATTTTGTCTAGATTCTTTTTTGATTTTACTGTTCCTCGGGAGCAGATGTGCCTAAGCTCAGAAATGAATATTCGTCTTTTCACCCATTTCTATAACTTTATCATTTTAATCTAAAATGTAATAAATGCTAGACCTATTGGTTCAAACTTTTATGGGATAAAGTGAGGCTAGATAAAAACAACATGAGCTAAAGTGTGGTGTTTAAAAATAATTACATTTAGGACCTAAAGGATAAGAAATATTTTTATTTTAGATCAGAGTGTATTATAAATTTCGAATAATTAATTAAGAGACAATTAAGATTTTGGTCGTGCATGTGCACATGCAACTGTGATAGTCATATAAGCAAACACAATCGGTTATTTGTTTTGAAATCATAGGTGAGTATTGGGCTGCAATCTCATACCATCTCGTGTGAGCTTTAACCTGGAGTAAATAAATTGCGAGGGATAAGATGAATTTTCGACCTTACAAGGCATGAAACATCCAAAACATATTATAATTGTGAACGGAGGGAGTACTATAGTACCACTTAGTAAGCTGAGATGATATTTATTCCGTAAATATTAGGTACGCATGGTGGCGCTACACCAGGATCCACTATTTATTTCTCATCGGGCATGCAACGGCAGCCAATAAAGCGTCATTAGATTGGTACTTTCTGCTAAATTCTGAGACCACCAGAAGCTCTTCAACTCGAGGTGGTGCCTTCTTTGTGTGGATTAATGGTTGCCTGCTATGGTTGCATGCATGCGGCACTTGCAGAAGCTGGTTGTACGTAGCTTACAAATTGTAAGTTTTGCTAATATATTGCAGCCAATGAAGAAGAAGAAGAAGAAGGACGTAGTACCGAATAAATGGTTGCATGCATGCAGCACCTGGAGCACATGTTCGTACATGTGCGTGCCTGCGGATAGCTGCGCTCTCTCTCTCTCTCTCACACGTAAGTAAATTTTCAGCTCTTCTATTTTTTATTATTTCTTGCAAATTCTCATGAATACTAGTACCTTTGTAACAAGGCGTTTCTAACATAGGACAGTGTTTTATATTAACTTAGCGAGGGAGTATAAAGTTATTTCCGACCAGCAGAACTTTTTCGGCCAAAAATAAAGAGTCAATTACACCACTTGATGCCACAACATGTCGCGAAAAGCCAGCTTAGTGCTAAAACTTGTGACATACATTGAACTGGTGCCAAAATTTGGCTTTGGCGTGCATATATGGTGTAAATTACGTTTCTATACAAAGAGGATGTTGATTAGGCACGCCAATGTGACATGCGCCTGCTGTCAGCGAGGCAAAGAGGACGTGTGGCCTGCTATTTTGCACAAAAAGAACCTCGGAAAATTTTCCTCATGAAAAAGCTCTTGCCACGCCCGCAAGGGTCCACTTGTCAGCATCTCAAAAATAATTAAAAAAATTGCACATGCAAGGATTCAAACCGCTGTCCTGTAGCTCACAGCTGCGCGCGTCTAACCACCTGAGCGAGGACAAATTCATGTAACAACTGGATGCTGCCCCTATATATTCTTTGAATATTATGCTGGCTACAGTCCCTACAACCCATTTTACCCTGTTCTTTTATGAATTTATAGGATATTTGTAAATTATAATCATGCGTTATAAATAACATAGATATTAATAAATTAAATTAATTATAAAATAATCATTTATTAATTTAACATTATCCAAATAATTAAATTATAAATAAAGAACTGTTCATGTAATAATTTGCATATTGAATAAAAACATATACTCAATAAATGCTTATATAAGTTTAATTTTTGTCACAGTTTTAAATAAATATTAATATAATATACAAAAGTATTCATGCTTTAAAGAAATGTTTATTTTTATACTATATTTTGGTAAATGCTTTTATAAGTTTAAAATCTTTCACGGTTTAAAAAAATCATGTAAGTATTTAAAAGTGTTCATGCTTTAAGAAAGTTTTTAGTTTTCTATATATTTTCAAAAATTCTTATGTAAATTTTAAATATTCATAGTTTTACCAAATTATTCATGCCGTATATAGAAGTTTTCATGCTTTAAAAAACATATATCCGTATACTGTAATTTTTTTACACGTATAGTGTAAAAAATAGTTGGCTGGGACTCGAAGCAGCAATATCTGGGCATCAGGTGTGAGTGGCCACCGCACCACCCAGCTGTGTTACTTCTTTTAGGAATTTATAAAATATATGTAAATTATATTCTTATGTGATAAATAATGATAATATAGAATAATATTATGTTATAAAAATATTCAAGTATTATTTAAACTTATCTATATAATTAATTTTTTATGTTATATTAAAATGTTCATTGTTATTTTGAAATTTACTTTATTTATAGCACATTGTTACAATAAGGAACTTTTTTTGAACATCAGTACAGACGCAAGAGCTCATACATACGCGCATACATTCACCCCTATGAACGCACACACGCACACCCTACATCTATGAGCACCTCCGAGAGACTGAGCTGGCATGTCATCTTGAAATTTACAAAGTCACCGTAGGCGCCTCGTCGTCGACGAGAACGTCTCCTCCCACTGAGAGGGCATCGTCGGAAATCCTGAAATAAATCCAGGAATAGTGCGAGCACCAGTACTTAAACCCTGGTGGGCTGGTGATACCACTGTCCCTCTAACCATCCAACCACATGTTGGTTCGCTACAATACGGAACATTGACGGGTGTACTGGTGTGGCATTTGCTCCTGTTGCAGGTCACGGGATCGAATCCCATTGGCGACAATTTTTGCAAAATGATGTGGGTTGCTGACAGATGGACCCCGCATAGCTCCATCTATGAGAAAAATGAAAAAAATTCTGAGGTTTTGTTGCTTGCAAGATAAGCAGGCACACACCCTCCTCATCACTCTATCCCTGACAGCGGGCCCGTGCCATGTTGGCGCGCCTAATCAGCACTGTGTTCGTATAGAAACGTGATTTGCACCATATATGCACGTCAAAGCCAAGTCGTACCACTAGTTCAATGTATGCCGTAAGTTTAAGCATTAAATTGACTTTTCACGCCAAGTTGTGACACCAGTGGTGTAATTGACTCAAAAATAAACTTTCTAGTTCTTCTCATAAAATGGTTTTCTGAAATGACAATGGGTAGCGAAAAACAGTTCTCCTTATTAATTAATTAAAATGCAAAACAAATTCTCAATGCGGAATCCAACAGTTCAAAACCGTTCGAAATAACTATAACGGTACGAAAAAGAAAACTCTCTGCTAATTGAAAAGGAAAACGCCATCCACACCATTCTGGATCCCCTCGTCGTCATCAGCCAAACTATCTTCCTCCTCCTCTTCCTCAACCACTGCACAAACACTCAAATCGCAGCCATGACGACGCTTCATCTCCGTGCCATCATCACCTTTCTCACGGTTCTTCTGTCCACCAAACCGCCGTTTCACCCGTGGGGAGGAAGGTGAAGCCACGTACCTCCTCGAGTCCAAGACGTCAGAGGCGCTCAGCACTATGATGGCATCCTCCAGGTTGACCACACCACCGTTGCATCCCCTCACCATTCCTCCCCCCATGATGTGCATCTCCGAATCGCGATCCTGGAGGTCGACGCCGTCCATCAATATAACGCGGTGAGGGTTCTCCACGACCGCTTCAAACAGCCTCTCTTCGAGGTCGCCGTCATTGTGCGGGGATCTCTGCCTCTTGAGGGCTAGCTTGCCGTTGTGTGTGCGAATGTTAGGGCTACTCTGCAGCTGGACGGTGGTGAACTCGGCGTATGAGCCAAACAGGAGCCTCGCGAGCTCCTGAGCGACTGCCACCTTGCCGCCATAGTCCCCTCCTAGGAAGAGCAGGCAGGTCGCTTTCGTCGAGGACAGCGAGCTAGGAATAGTCCTCGTCACGCCGGATCTGCACCGGAGCACCGTGCACGATATGCCGGGGATGATGTTCCCGTGACGCGGAACGCGCAGCTGGAGCGCGTTGCAGAGGATATTGAGATTTGTCGCGGTGAGCTCCGTGAACTTCGGCCGGCGGCAAGCAGCCTGCATGCATGAGTCAGACACTCACGGCCGGGCAATTAACTAATCGGTTCACCACTTCACGAGTGAAATCACATACAAGATGTGTTATACGTACGTCTGCCTGAAGACTGGCGCCGCAGTATGTTGACCTGACGCAAGTTGTATCTTTGTAGCGGCGGAGCCACGGAGGAATGCTCGCCGTCGATGCGCCAAAGATGGCCGGTCGCCCTCCTGCTCCTGTTTTTGCATTGCTAGCTTGGCACTCACTGCAATAGAAACACCGGGAATATTATTAGCGTACATGTCTAGATGTTTGCTTCAAGCAAATTTCCTGGAAATATCAACACAGTGAAGCATGCACATACACTGGAAAAATTAGTGGCCAATTTTGTTGCCAAATGACATACTTTACTTACATGGCAAGTTCATAGAGGAAAAAAATCATCATCAGTAATTACCAATAAATACAATGTAAAAACAGATTCCATGGTGTATAGTTTTTTTTTGCAGATACCCATGGCGTATCCAAGGCCTCTCTCAATACATTGATGCTTAGATGAGGTGCTAAGTGGATTAAAAAAATTAGCAACACTAGTCTCCTCAATGCATAGGTCCTTAACTTTTGTAACTACGATTCCCTCGTGGAATTGTTTAACAATTAAACTCCTTCATGAATTGGCTGGTAGTCATTTTACATAGGTTCACGCGCTTAGCACGGTTCTTCCTGCGGTCATCATAATGCTCTCTCTCCTCTTTAATTGCTTTACCACATCACTTTTTTTTGCCTATGTGACACCATTAGCACATATACCCATGGAGCACTGGGAATGGCCTAATGATACTTATTAGGTGTGGACTCTATATGTATGTTCTGATAACTTCTAGTTAGGACCACCAATGGTGCCACCTTACTGGTACCAGTTTCGTTTGTTAAAACGTAAGTTACCACTCAATGGTTTAAGAAGTCGTAACTGTGTCTAGTAGACTAAATAGGATGGTAACTCACGTGTTATTATGTGGTAACAGAAGAAGGAAAACAAAATTTTAAGAACATACCCAAGTTACTTTGATCTTGTTTTGTAACCGTAGTTCATATGATGTTGATAGTAAAAACCAATTATCAACCAGACAAATAGTTTAAGCTGCAATATATTTTAAATTAAAAAAAATCAGGTTTTGGTAAGGTGATGTGGTTCTTTTTGAATGCAAGTTTTTCTTTGCATGCAAATGAAATGGTTGACATCCAAGTTACTCGTTTACTTGGCATGCAATGGAGGCAGATGAAAAGGCAGGCACACGCTAATCGAAATGCGTCGCGTGGGAGAGACGGAGCATGGACATTGGTTTCTTATAAAACTGAACTTGATAAAGCTTGAGTTTGAAAAAGAAACTATGTGCACTATATTTTAAAATGGAGTAAGTATCTTTGTTCATATATGCATGATTTCATAAGAGATGGTTTAGGAGGCCTCAAATCCATGTTCTAGCCCAATTCAGCCTAAAGAAAAAAAAAATAAGAAATAATACTACTTTTTTGGGCCTAAAGATGTTAATTTGAATGACCGAGTCCCTCCTAATGGCTTACGACTAGGTGTATCCCCTTCATACTGGAATCAGGTTCTTTGTCGTCAGCCAGCTCTTTGCCGCCAGCTAACTGACGGCAAAGAAGGTCTTTGCCATCAGCTGCCAGAAAACTGGCGGCAAAGAAAGAGCTGACAGCAAAGATCATGTTTGTCGTCAGCCAACTCTTTGCCGTCTGCTAGCGGACGGCATAGAAGCTTTACCGTCTGCTAGCAGACGGCAAAGAGCTTTGCCATCTGCCAGCAGACGGCAAATATCCCACGTGTCAGCTACCTGTGCAACCTGGGGTGCACTGGGCTTGCATATATGGCATGTTTTGCCGTCTGCTGGCGGACGACAAAGATGCAAAGGTGTTTACCGTCCGCCAGCATACGGCAAAGCGTGCCACATGTCAGCTACCTGGGGGCATCTGGGCTGGCCTATTTGGGTGCTTTGCCGTCTGCTGGCAGACTGCAAAGCACACCGTTAACCTCTTAAGAGACCTAAGCTGCCGCATGTGTCGTCCAGGCCCTTTGCCACTGACGGACGACAAAGACCTTTGCATCTTTGTCGTGCGCCGGCAGACGGCAAAGAGCTCTTTGCCGTAGTCTGTTCAGTCGGATGTGTTGCCGTCTGCTGGCTGACCGCAAAGGCCTTTGCCGTCCGCCAGGCATGCCTTTGCCGTCAGCCATGGCAGACGGCAAAGTTCCTGATTCCTATAGTGCTTATACAAAGTGTTGCAATTGAACTTTTTCAACAATATAGGAATATACTTATAAAGCAAAAGTGAAAATAATGCTATTAATATCATCATCATCATCATTAGATATCTCAACCTCGAGTGTAAAATAACTTATTTTACACCCAAGGTGATGAATATCATTACCATATATTGATATATGTATATCACTCATAAGTTATTTTACACTTGAGTTTTTTCATACATTGTTGCATTTAGAATTTACGTTCAGTATATGGATAATTACATTTGTATTGATTCACTACACAAAATCTGTATAAGAAAAGTATGATATAAGTCATAAAACCACAAAATTTACATATATATATATATATATATATATATACATATATATTGTACTTTATATACTACTTTCTCCATTCTATAATGTTGTGCATATAGATTTAATAAAGTCAAACCTCACAAAATTTGATCAAGTTTTTTAAGAAACACATTTATCTAGAATGGCAAGCATATATTATTAAATTCATTATAATATGTTGTTTCATTGTATATTTGATATTATAGATATAAAATAGTTTTTCTTTATAAACTTGATCAAACTTTGTAAAGTTTGACTTTTGAAAAAATCTATACGATACAAATAGAGGGAGTATATATGCAATTGATGAATGTCTGCTTATTTTTATTTCTATAATTTAAGAAAAAGTAACATTTTCATACTTTTTGGTCAAGCGTCACTAAGTGGCTAGAAACATTTAGCATCACCGTCCGGCACTACCGGTGTGCAATGTTAAGCGGCATCATAAAAATTGGGCTAGCCGCATTAATAGGCTTATTATTAACTATAGTTTATCTATATGCATAAGTATTATGGAATTGGCATTACTAGGTCTGACTCCTGGCACCGCCACTGGGCACCATGGACTGTGGCCGCTGCTCCGGCAGCGCCTTGGAACCGTCAACCGCGGTCCGGAGCAGCTGCTCTGGCAGCGTCTTAGAACCACTGGAGGTGGAGCATTTCTTTCCATCGCTTGACATGGCCATTGGAACGAGCCTCTGATGTCAATTGTTAGCCCAAACTATCGATAAGTAAGCTGTCGAGGATCTGACGAAGTAGAGGAATGGTGATCTAGACTGCAGCTAGCACAAGCTACAATTACACGCACATATATGAACTGGAGGGTCACTGGTATATTCCAACTAGTAGCTAAACTGCAGTAGTTTCTGCCTTGTACTAAACTAGCTTACGGACACACTTGAGAGAGTATTGTAGTACTGGTTCACTGCTTTGCACTGGATGGAGTAATTTACAACGCGAGGAGTAGTGCCCTTATATAGCACCTACAAACGGCTAAATTTCGTGTTTTGACCCTTTTCTGAAACCTATTCGAGATCTGACCCTAGGTTGAATTTTTTTCGAGATCTGACCCTTTTGCTATCGCCAGAGTCCATGGCGGTAGGGTCTAACAGCCTACCGCCAGAAACTTTGGCGGTAGAAAACATCGCTACAGCCAAACAGGCTGACGGTAGCCTGCACAACCCTACCGCCAAGCACCTTGGCGATAGGCACGAACACACACGGTGTTCAATACTTAGGCAGTTTTTGGCGGTAGGGCATGCAACCCTACCACCATGGTCCCTAGCGGTAGCAAAAGGGTCAGATTTCGAAAAAAAATTCAAACTAGGATCAGATCTCGAATAGGTTTCAGAAAAGGGTCAAAACACGAAATTTAGCCCCTACAGTACGCACGAGCTGATGTCAAATGCCTAAGTGACTTTATGGCTTGCCTGTTTCAGCTCAGCCTTTTTGACTATAGAAAGCATAAAATACTACTTAGCTCCTTTTTAACTAGAGAAAGTCTAGTACTACTTAGCTACTTTCCATGCAACGATGCATGCGTAGAAGGCAGGGGTGAAGCCCACATGTATGTATGTATGTATATGCAATACCTCAATGTCTGCTTATTTTTATTTTTATAATTTATGAAAAAGCAATATTTTCATACCTTCTGGTCAAGCGTCACTAAGTAGCTAAAAAAACATTTGGCGTCACCAGCCGGCACCATCAGTATGCTACTCACTGTTTGCGATGTTAAGTGACATCATAAAATTTGGGTTAGCCGCACTACTAGGCTTTCGATTAACTATAGTTTATCTACATATATGCATAAGTGTTATAGCCTTGGCATTACTAGGTCTGACTCCTGGCACCGTCACTGGGCACCATGCTGTAGCTATCTAGGTAGGTACTGTAAGCAGAAAGGAAGCTCATCCAACAAAAAGAAGAGGTCAGGCAGATAAACACTGGACGCCATTATGTGAAACAAGCAATACCTTCTGCCTTGTCCAGCCCTAATCATGTCCTGAACCGGAGCTGGACATGTCGCGAGGATGTCGCAACCTGCCTTACTTGATCTTGATCTCTTCGACGAAGTGAGAGCGCTCTCGACGCTGGCCCTGATCTGGGAGCTCGAGAAGCCGGCCGCGCGCATGACGCGGTCGACGCTCGGGTCGTCGAGGATGGAGACGACGAGCTTCTCGAGCTCGACCTCGGCCGCGCTCCTGCCCCTGTGCTGGTGCGCCTGCGCCCGCTTCAGCGCGGCCACGCACGCGTTCGACGGCGCCGGGTCGACACTGTTGTGGACCACGGTGGTCACGGCGAGGCTGCCGAGCGCGAGGTCCAGGCACAGGTCGAGAGCGTTGTGCTGCATAGGGTGGGACTGGGACCTGACGCAGGCGGCGCGGAGGATGCTCGCCGGCGCGGAGAGAATAGAGCGGGCGATGTGGAGCGGGGTCACCTGCGCGTGCCCCCACCGCACCGCCAGGCTCGCTGCCTGCCGCAGCACGCCGGCCACCTCCTCCCCCAGCGCATGCCCGTCGGTGATCCGCATACTCTTGGAGCTCCTGTATACTAGACGGTGAACGTTAGGCGTGCGTGTGCAGAGATTGATGCATGCACGTAGGACCAATTGTGATGGGAGCCAGTCATTTGTAACCTCGTCAGTGTACCCCACAAAATCCTCGGGACAGTTGTCCTCCTCGGCCACAAAATGTACCCAACGTACCCGACTGGCCGGTGTTGACCCCTCCACCTACGGCGGTCTAGTTGTAAATGTGGTCCGTCCATATATGGAACTGCCCGGGGAGTAATATCGACGTCCATCACAAGTCATGGCTGCCCAAGGACAGCCAAGAACGGTAAGGCACAATAACAACTCGGTGAAATCCTTTCACAAAAAAAAAAAAGAAACTCGGTGAAATCGGCAGTACTCAACAAATTAAGGAGACTTTGCTGGACTTTTCCACTACTCGAAAATCAATTGATATCGAATTCTGCCGAGTTTTTCAAGTTCAACAACATTCGGCAGAGAAACTTAGTGGAGACTCCCAGTTAGCCGAGATTCATAACAAATAAACTCGCCAAAGTAAAAAAGACCCAATCTATGACACCGTTGCCAAGAGCTCCTGTAAGCTACCTCGGCAAATTGGGGCCACATGGCATGGCAGTCCAGCATTGACAGACATGGGGCAGGTGAGCGTTAACCATGATTTTTTTTCCTTGACGCTAGCAGTTTTCATAGTCGCAGTTTTATGCCTGTAAGCTACCTCGGCAAATTGGGGCCACATGGCATGGCAGTCCAGCATTGACAGACATGGGGCAGGTGAGCGTTAACCATGAATCCATGTTTTTACAGTCCAGCATTGACAGACATGGGGCAGGTGAGCGTTAACCATGATTTTTTTCCTTGACGCTAGCAGTTTTCATAGTCGCAGTTTTATAGCCGAAAAAATCATGCTAAAGCTAGGAATTGAACTCAAGACTTCAATGTTGAGAGCTTAACACACTAGCCAACTCACCCACTACTTGTCTTATGTGAAATTCAAATAAAATACCACTACTTAACCAACCGAGATGGAAAAGTTGTTGAAATATACCTCGATAACTTCTGTGTAAATAGGATGATAAATTACGTACCGCTGACCTGATAAGTTACGTACACACACCGCTGATAAGTCATCCCGGCACTTTTAAGTCCAAAAGGCATTGAGACATAACAAAAGGCCCCAAAAGATGTAATGAAGACCGACTTTTCTTGATCTTCAATAGCCATCTTTATCTAGTGGTAACCAGAATAAGCCTCCAGAAAACATAAACTCTCATATCCAGCAGTGGAGTCGGTGATATGATCAATGCGAGGGAGGGCAAACGGGTCTTTGGGAAAAGCCTTGTTAAGGTCTGTGTAATCAACACACATGCGCCAAGTGCAGTTTTTCTTGAGAATAAGCACTGGATTAGCCAACCACTAAAGGTGGAATACTTCCACGATGAACCCGACATCTAGGAGCTGGGCCACTTCCTCCCCAATAACCTCACGTATCTCCTCACTAAAACAACGAAGGTATTTCCGGAGTGGTTTCATCTTAGGATCGACAGTAAGGTGGTGCTCATCGAATTCTCCAGGCATGTCAGAAGCCTTCCATGCAAAGATGTCCCGATTCTCACTTGTGAACTCGATGGACGCGCTTTCCTATTTGGGATCCATGCGTGTCCCAATAGTTAACTGCAGAGATGAGTCATCAGGGACGAAATCAACTTGTTTGGTGTCTTCAGCCGAATTAAACATGAGGGCGGGTCAGACTCTATGGTGGGTTTATTCAAGGACGTCATATCAGTCGGGTCAACATTAGATGTGTAAAATTTCAACTCCTCCATTGCACAGGCCGGCTCAGCATAAGCCGCGCCCCCTTCTTCACACTCACGAGCAATCTTTCTATCCCCATTGACTGTGATAGGTCCCAGGCATCTTGAGCTTTAGGTACACATAGCAGGGTCGGGCCATAAAACGAGCATAAGCCGGTCGCCCAAACAAGGCATGATAAGAACTCTTGATTTTGACCACTTCAAACGTCAAGAATTATGTCATGTAGTTGTACTGATCACCAAACGCAACCTCTAATTTGATCCGCTCGATGGGGTATGCAGATTTTCCAGGGACGATTCCGTGAAAAACAGTGAGGGTTGATTTTCTAACAGGTTCATACACTTGAAGGTGTCATAATACAGGATGTTGATGCTGCTGCCTCCATCCATAAGTACCTTTGTGAGTTTGTATTCACCCATTTGAGGCGCCACCACCAAAGCCAGGCCACCGGTGTTATCAACTCGTGGCGGGTGATCAGCCCTACTCCAAGTGACTGGCTACTCTGACCAATTTAAATACTGAGGAACCACCGGCTCAACCAGATTAACAACGTGTTTCTGAACCTTGCTGTCCCGCTTGCAGGTACTAGTGGTGAAGACATGATATTGCTCACTGTTTAATTGCTTAGGATTGCTCTGAAAACTTGTTTATTGCCTTGGTGTTGAGTACCTTGGCCAGATTCCTGATTTCCGCCATGATTGCCAGACCCCTGGTATCTAGGTCCCGAGCCGCCCAAGCCCTAATAACCCGGATTGTGGTAATTACCTGATAAGCCGCCACCTAGGAAGTTGGAGCCGCCAGCTCCTGGCTATCCAGGATTACCACGACCATCATGATGGTTGTGGTGGACTTGATTATGATAAGCCTATATGATGTGTCAATTTTCTCATGAATTACTCGCCGGTCTATCAGGGGTACTGTGCTTGGGACACGGACCCTTGAGGGCTTCCTCAAAGTTGGGAGCTTTATTTGCATTAAACGGCCTCCCAGAATTATTCCGTCTCTGTCCCTTATAACCAGTGTTGGTATTAGCAACGAGGTCTAAACTGCCCACCAGGTGTTTGCGCTTGCCGCCGTTGCCTTGACCACCATGGTTGCCATTGTATCCCGGGTAATTCTGTTGTTGATTCTTGCTGCCAGCATTCTTCTTTTCCTTTTCGGTCTGATCGTCGTTTGGGCTAGGATCCTTCATAGTGTCTAACTCGGCATACCGGGTTAAGACATCCATGAGCTCGCCCATGTCAGTGATCGTTCGCTTGAGCCGCCCAAGTTTCCGAATGAGGGGATCAAAATGATAGTTTTCTCCAAGATCAAGACAACTTGAGATGCTAATATGCCATTCGAGGAATGGATTATATCCGCAACTTGGCGAACTCAATGATGAGCTGACTCGCCCTCGCGCAGAACACAATGTTGCAAATCAACAATGGTCATAGGACGCTTACAAGTCCCCTGGAAGTGCTTGATAAAATGTGCCTTCAACTCTGCCCAAGTGTTGATGGAATTGGGGGCAAATTCTTCAAACAAGTACGAGCAGGTCCTTCTAACATCATAGTTAGGTACTTGGTGCAGACCCCGTCACTGTCATCCAATATATCCATAGCAATTTCATAACTCTCAATTCAAGCCGCCGACTCAAGGTCAGGCGTGTAGTTAGAAACCTTCCGGGGGCCCTTGAAGTCCTTAGGCATACTCTCATTGCGCAAAGTCGGTGCCAGGCACGGTATCCCGATGGTTCGCATGCTCGACCCAACACCTTGCGAGGCCAGGGGGTCATAGGAGGTGACTGGTGAGCCGCCGCATTGGGGATTTCTGCTTCTTGACGCGCTCGAGCCATGTCAACGATCTCCTGAGCAAACAGAGCTTCAAGGCGGGGCAGGTTATGCTGGTGCTCACTGACGCGTCGAGCGTTGTTAGAGATAACGGGCGGCTCAGCATGGCGACTCCTTCTACGACTCGGATGAGGGGTGGAGTGGAGCCGCTGCTGACTATAGGAATAATTTGCTTGCTGGGCCACCGCAGTTTTCAGCAGCTCGATGGTGTGCAAAGCTTCCCTCTCAATTGGGGCATTGCCTATGACCGGGAGTGCGGCGAGGTTGGTAACTGCTGTCATCAAGTTATCCATAGGGTTGGAGAAATGACCCGCCGGCGTCACAAAGCGATCTGGAGTCGTCCGAACGGGCGGCTAATTATGGGCCGGCTCAAATCAACGCTGCTGAACAGGAGATGCACTATTGCTGGATGCTGCTAACGCGACAGTACGAACAGAGACCCTTCGACGAAACTGCGTGCGATGCAATAATCGCAAACGGTGTTGTAAAAAATCTGTCAAAAAAAGGTGCAAAACGTTTGCGATGACGGATGCATCAAACACGGTTCAGACTTTTGTTGCATGTGCGATTCAGGGCATACGGTTTGCGATGATGAGGAACAAAAGAAATGGGCTGCCAGATGAAGGCGCATGCGATGTAGAGCATACGGTTCACTCGGGTGAACTGTTTGTGATGAGGCGGAACAACAGAAACGGGCAGGAAGATGAAGCTATGTGCAATATACGGCATACACACTACAAGAAATATGTCAACTAGTGACCTCCACTATTGGTCACTGAAAGGTCATAGTTTTCAATTTGTGACCTTTTTGTGACCAAAAACATAAGGTCAAAAGCTGAGGGTCATTAATTGACTATAGCGACCTTCTCTATGAGAAGGTTGTAGACGTTTATGACCAAAATACGTCTACTGTGGCGTTTTGGTCACTAGCAACCTCCCCAGGCCACGTAGGCGTCCAGCGTGGCAAGCTGATGTGGCACAAGATTCAGCCCGGTCCAATTCAGTTTTCCACATGGGCCTAGCCAAACAATTTGGCCTTTTTAATGTATTTTTTTCTTGTTAATTTTCACTAGCTACATGGGCTTGGGCCATTAATTCTGCTTTTTTTTCTAAGATGTAGACTTCTACTACTTTTTTGTTTTCATCCTTTTTTTTGCCACTAGTCCCACTTGTCAT